CCGGGCCGCGCCGCCGCCGAGCAGCCGCCCCGCGCGCCGCGCCTCGGGAACAAAGGCGCCCGCCGCCGCCGCCGTCGCCATGAAGCCGGGGCCACCGCACCGCGCCGCGGCCGCCCACGGGGCAGGCGCCGGGAACGGGGCCGGGGCCGGGCCCGGGGCCCGCGGGCTGCTGCTGCCGCCGCTGCTGCTGCTGCTGCTGGCCGGGCGCGCCGCGGGGGTGAGTGACGCGCGCCGGTTCCCGCGCCCCCCCACCCCTCCCCGGCCCCCTGCCCCCAGCCCCCCGCGCCCCTCCTCCCGCGGACGCCACCCCCCCCACACCCCGAGGGCTGACCTCGTGGGGGCAGGCCGCCCCCGCCGCCGGCCGCCTTCGGGGCTCTGGGGACCCCTCCCCGGCGGGCGACCCGGCGGGAACCGGATTGCGGGTCGCGGGCGCTGCGCCCCTCCCCGGCGGCCCCGCGGGCGGAGCGGGGTCCCCTGCCCCGGGTCCAGAGGCGCGGGGAGGGCCTGACGGCGGGCCGGGGGTCGCCGGGCGCGGGGCCCGGGCTGGGTGTGTCGTGGGTCTTGAGCGAACGTGGCTTTTGCTTCGTGGGTGTGCCCAGACCGCGGCCACTTTTAGGGAATTGGGTGGGCTCGCCCCGGGGCGGGGAGGTGTGCGTTTGGTTCCTCCGACGGTCGCTTTGGGGAGGACAGTGGGGGCCCGGAGAGGGGGAGGGGTGGGAGGGTGACTTGTGTGAAGGTGACCTGAGGGGGTGAGTGAGGGTGACCCCGTGTCTCTGATCCCCTCCGTTGGGACCTGTGGGCTGTGTAGGGGTGAAGGATGAGGGATGAGCGTCAGTTCAGCACATGGCTGGGTGCCACCATGCCTTACCTGTATGTGGATCCTGTGGGGGGGACCTATTGTGTGTACCAGTGGCCGTGGCTATGTGTGCTTCTGGGGGGGGGGGGCTGGTGAGTGTGTGTGTGGGAGAGACCTCGGTGGTGGGTGTGTGCTTGGACCCATGGGAATGTGTGTGTGCATGCGTGCGTGCGTGCATGTGCTTGTGGATGCGTGGCTGACCCGGTGCATGGGGCATGTACCGTTGAGGGGGGCAGAGTGTGTGCAGGTTGAGGTGAGTATGTATGTACACGGTGACCCCTTGAGTGTTCCTTTGAATGACCACACAGCTGTGGGGTTGAGCTCAGTCCCCGCTCCATTAGGGGGAGCCGAGGAGGTATAGAAAAGAAGGGCCACCTCCCCACTTTGAGGGACCCAGGGACCCAGGTCCCAGGTGAGTTCCCCCATGGACACATGTCTGGAGCCCGGGCTGGGGATGAGCTGGGGGTTTCTAGGCCCAGTCTCCTTGGCTGGTTCTAGGAGCTGTGCCTCTCTGTCATTCCCCAGGCTGAACAGGCTCCAGGTCTCTCAGGCATCCCCCAGGTGCCGACCCTGTTCCCGCGTGTCTCCGTGGTCCTTGGTTGGCCGGTCTGTAAAATGGGAGGAGGACAGGCATGGATTCAGAGGTTGCTTCTTGGACAGACAAGCTCCTCAGCGGCCTTCTCCATCTGGGAGCTGAACTAAGGGTAGAGGGAGTATTGAATGCCAAGTCGAGTACGTGCCTGGTGGGCTGGTTGCCTCATCCCCAGTGCTCCCCCAAGGGGGTGGAGCAGAGGTCCCTGGGTGGGACTGGGACCCAGCCCATCCTAGCACCTGGGTCACCTTCTCAGCCACGCTTCTTTCTGAAAGACCATTTTTGAAATCAAAAGCTTGGAAATAACACAGCCTTGGGTTCAAACCCTGCTACCCCCACTGACTCATGCTGTGACCTTGGGCACGTTGTGTCATCTCTCTGGGCCTCTATTTTCCCCTCTGTAAAATGGGGCTGCTAACACCTTTCTCAAAAATGTGATGAGATGATATGTGTGCTCGTTCACAGAAGTAAACGTTTGATGTATAGATGAATGAAAGGGGGCTTAGGACAGAAGGCTTTACATTTGGAGACCTGGCAGGAATCTCGAGCTGTATGACCCTGGGCAAGTCCCATCCTTTGCTGAACCACTGTTCCTCACTAATAGAACAAGGCTAATATAATTCATGCTCCACGGGGTGGTGGAAGGAAGGAAGTGAGCGCCTGTGAGGTGGAAGACTATTCTGGAGGTGGAAGACTATTCTGGAGGGCCTCGGTGAGACAGGGTCCCTGAACCCCAGGGCGAGTTAGAGTGGGTGTGGTTCAGACCAAAGTTGAGTGGCAGATAACACCCCCTCACAGGGTCTGGGCCTGGAGGCCAAGATGGTGGGCTTGACTGGGAGGGGCTCCAGATGAGGTGGGAGAGGGGGATCCTCTCTCCTCGCCTCACATCTTCCCAGGGGTTAGGCTGTCCGGGAGGAACATCACCTCCTCTGGCCCAGGAGCCAGAAGCGTAAAGGGTGGTGCCCAGCTGCCAGGGACTCCACACCAGATGAAGAGGGTGATGCCTGTAGCAGGAGGGACCGAGGTGAGACCAGAAGAGCCCCACCCAGGATGGCTCCAGGACTGGCCTCCATGGCAGGGTCCTCTAAGGACATCACTCGATGGGCGGTGGCTGGCTCTGGGCAGGGGAGGGACAAGATGACCCCTGGTCTGCCCACCAGCTTGAAAGGGAGTGAGTGTGTGTGTGTGTGTGTGTGTGTGTGTGTGTGTGTGTCCTGGCATCTGCTTTGGGGAGTCATCTCTCCTGAGAGACCAGGTGACCAGGACTCTGAGGGACGTCCGCCTTCGGGGCCACCTCCATCACCACCCAGAAAGGCTTGGAGTGTGGGGATTCTGCAAGTCTTAGCTTGGAAACATGTTCATTTAGAAGGTCAGGACCGGAAGAAATTTTCGGTGTCATCTAGTCTTGTTTGAATATTCCCAGTGACAGGAACTCACTACTCTGTGGCCGTGAGACCTTGTGAAAGTTAGTTAACCTCTCTGTGCCTTGTTTCCGTCTTCGTAAAACTGAGAAGGACAACCACAAAAGAGGTTAATAATGTGGAAAGCTCCCGGCACAGTGGCGCAGAGTCGACAGTCAACAAATGTCGATTTCTTGTTCTTTTATGAGGTTGCAATTGCAGGGCCTGGAGTGTGGTAGGGGTAGGGGAAAGGTGGGGATGGGACCATGGGGAGGGGGGAATCAAGCAAGGAATTCTGTTGAAGCCCCACCGCCAGGCCTTGTGGTTCCTGCCCCCTCCCCGCCACGACTCTTTCCGCTGTCCTTGGGCACCGTGCTCTTCTCCAGCTACCCTGGTTGACTGTGAATGCCGAGTGGTCAGAGCAAGATTGTCCTCACTGTAAAAATTAAAAGTTGGGGACCCTGGGGCTGTTGGAGGCCAGGCTCTGACGCAGGGACACCACAGGGGCCTGCTGTCTGTTAGCCCCCAAGGTGGCAGGGGCTTCGGGGATAGACACCTGCTGTGTGACTTTGAGTGAGGGATTTCTCTCTTTCAACTTCCTCATCTGTAAAATGGGGACTATAACAGTGCCAACCTCACAGAGATGTTGTGATGAGAAAATGAGCTCCTTGGGTAGAATGAGCACAGCCTGCCATGGAGTGAGCTCTCAGGAGATAGGGCCTTTCCAGGAGGGGGCCTCGAGAGGTCAGGGAGGGCTTCCTGGTGGAGGAGGTTTTGAGCTATGCAATCAAAGTGGTCACCATGTGGCACAGAGCAAGCTGTAGCCTGCCCTGACCCGAGGCTCTCTTACTTGTCAACTGGGGACAAATACTTGACTTACAGGACTGCTACTAGGGGTACACTATCCTCATGGCAGAGTTGGGATGGGGACCCGGTGCCTTCTACTCCCTGGGGAGCAACACAGAGCCTCCAGCTGCGAATTCAGTATGTTTCTTCCTCCGTGTTGGGGGTTGGTGTGGGGTTGAGCTCTGCTGAAGAAAAAAGTAGTTTAGGGGCAGCTGGGTGGCTCGGTTAGTTACATGTCTGCCTTTGGCTCGGGTCATGATCTCGGGGTCCTGGGATCGAGCCCCGTGTCAGGCTCCCCGCTCAGTGGGGGTCTGCTTCTCCATCTGCCCCTCCCTCCCACTTGTGCTATTTCTCTCTCAATTAAATAAATAAAATCTTAGAAAAAGAAAAAAAGCAGTTTGGCCTTTTGAAAACAGATGGCTCCTCCCACCTGATGGACTGGGATATGGGGTCCCTGAGGGCCCCAGGGCAGCACTGGGGCAGGGCAGTTCTGGGCCTGGGCTCTGGAAAATGCCGGGGCACCAGTGGGGTGGGTGAGGGGGGGGTCTTTCCTGAAGGGGAGAGAGAGGTGAAGACAGAGCTCCTCAGAAGCCAGACCCTGCCACAGGCGTCCCTCCAAACCCTCCCATTGGAGCTGGGACCCCCCCATTCCCTCCCCCGCCCCAGGCCCCACTGCTGTTTCGGGTCATTCTAGAGGGGGCCGGGTCATTCTAGAGGAGGCCGCAGTAGGATTGCTGAGGGCTGGAGCCGACTGAGGCAGCTGGGACGGGAGGGGTAAAGTCTCCATCTGTCTTTGTCGCCCCCACCCCGCCCCGGGGCTGTGGGTATAATTTGGGAAGGGCTTAATGACAGAAACAGCAAACTAATGCTCACTGAAAGCCCCGCCCACTAAGCACTTGTTATGTATTGGCTCATTGAATCCTCCGAATCATCTCTGGAGGTGCGAATGATTAGAACCTCCATTTTACTGAAACGGAGGCACAGAGAAGTGCAGTGACTTGCCCACAGTCACACAGCTGGAAAGTAGCTGAGCTGGACGGAGCCAGGGCCTGCATCCTGATTTTACCCCCTCTTGCTCTGTCACCTTGGACAAGTTGCTTCTCGCTGGGGTCTCCTTACCCCCCCAGTGAAGCCCAGGATACCCACTCTTGCACAAGGACTTGCTCTCTGCCAGGCTCTGGGCTGGGGTGTCCCTTGTCTTTCCTCAACTACTCTCACCCTGGCCTTGGAGGTGGGCGACGCTAGCCGCAGGCTGCAGGTGGGGGCAGGGCTTACCCAGTGCTTGGCTGTGGGGCCCTTGCTCGTCTCCCCACCTCACAAGGCTTTGTCATCTGTAAAATGGGCGACTTTGAGGGTCCCGGGTTTGGGTTGAGGGAGAGCGCTGAGGACTGTGCAGGAAAGGGGGCGGGACTCGGGTCTGGTCCTGGCACAGGAGTCGGGAAGTATTTAGAACTTCAGGAGGAGAGGGGTCTAAAAAGCCGGCCTTCCCCCTGGCACACACGGGATGCCCCCAGTGTTGGGGCTCACTCTCTGCGTAGGTGACCAGGCCGCTGACCCTCAGAAAGTTGTCACGTGCGGGGCCCAAATCTGCATCCCTGCCGCCCCATCCCTGAGTCGTGGCCCCCTTGCTCCTAAGGTTCCCTGCGGCCCGAGTGACTTGGTGGAGCTCCCGCAGCTCGAATGCTTTCCTGATAGACCGTGAACCCCCATGGGCAGGCTTTGTGGCTGTTGTCTTCTTTGCTGAGCCCCAAGGCCAACTTCGCGCCTGGCCCAGAATTGAACGGTTGGAGTGAGTGAGCGAATGGGTGAAGGAAACCAGTACTGGGAGGTTTGGAGCCCAGGCTGGGGCTTTG